CGTCGCTGTAAAAACAGTACAAAGTGGGAGCTGGAGGCCGCGCCGTTCCCGCTGTCGAGACCCTTCAATTATTTATTCCCAGTCCCGCTGTTCGCCCCGACCGCGCGACAAAAGAGGAAGCTTGTTTGGGTACGACGACTTTCAGCCAGCGTCGCGTTGGGATCGGACTTTCGATCGGATCACAACGAAAGGATGAGTTTAGAATGAGCAGATCGGCAGCGCCTGACTTTTGAATTGAAACTTCGAGTAGGTGTTGGAGCGAGAAGCGACTTCGGAGCAAATAACCAACAAACGGACGAGCGAGCGGGCGAGTGGACGCGCGAATCGTTGACGGACCGAGGGAGCTGTCACGGGGAGCAGGAACGAGTTTGTTGCCGTTTTAGAACTTTCGTCCGGGGAGTAAAGCTCTCACTGAACGCTCTCCTTTCGTTCTCGTTGGCCTGGTGAAGCAGTTTGTCGAAACGACGTGTTTTCCTCTTCTTGTCGGTCGCTCTGTCTGTCTGTCGGTCACTCGTGGCGCTCGTCCTCTCCGTCGTGGCATCCGCTCGGTTCCGCCGCGCAGTGGCCAAAAACCAGTCGTCGTCGTTCTCTTCTCGCCGTTGTCGCCGCCGCCACCACCACCGTCGTCGTGCTCTCGTCGCCGACAAAGAGCAGAGAGTCTGAGCTTGTGGCCGGCAGGGCGGTTGGCTGCCGCTTCGACTGCCAGTCCGAGCAGCCATTCGTCTGTCCGTTCGTTCGTGGAGTCCTTTCCGGAAACGGGAGTAATATTTTTCAATATAAATGCCTGTTTCCCTTCGTCCCAGTCACTCGGAGCGAGAGCGACGACGGCGCTACCGCGACGCGGCGGCTTCCCAACTATTGCAGCCAAGCAACTACTAAAGCCAACGTTGTTCTCGTTGTTGTCGATGTCGCCCTCTTCTTGAATGGCGGGAGATTCCCCTCCGCGACGTCTCGCGGAGCCCCTCGAGAAACTTTCCACCGGTTCCCCAGAAACCCTGCCGGCCCGGGTCCTTTTGCTCTTGGGCTCGAGTCGACCGCGTTCGTTCGCCGTCGCGCCGCCGACCTCGCCGACGGGGCACGCGGCTGGTCGCAGGACTCGGGAGGGGTACATGTATGGGAGAGAGGAACGCTGAACCTCAGAGGGGACATGATGATGCGTTCGGATGGGGTCCGCGGGCAAGGGGAGGGGACCGAGGGGAAAAACGAGGAGGACCGTTCACCACCGCGAACGTCATCACCGACAATTTAGGCAATTGGCACGCGACCGACTTTGCATTGTCGACACTCCTGACACCCATTTCCTAACGACGACCGGCCACAATTCGTTCCGAACACCTGTTTTCTGCGTTCAACGAGCTCCAGCAGGGAATTTTCGTCATGCCGTCTCGGAATGTCAGATTATTTGATAATGGTAATTTCGCGATGAAAACAGAGGTCCCCGAAATCGATCCATGGAAGACTCTCTATGATAGCACGCTCTAGCGTAGAGCTACGTTTCAGCTCCCGGTAGAGGGGAAAGGTAGGGGGCGAATCGCGGAAAATTGGTCAAAAATCTGATCATGGCGATTCTCAGGAACAAAGCATTCGACGAGGTAAATCGTCGAATATGCGTGACTCCTTGTGAGGCATCGCCTGGAGGTTATCTTGAGCAAGAATAACCGATCCCCCTGGGTGAAAAAGACCATGATATGGGCTCGGGCTTATGATACTCGGGGATTACGCGTTTAGCACGGGAATCATGATGGCTAGGGCTGGGAATGTCCAGCCAGTGCAGTTTCGACAGACAAAATAACGGTGACTCGATTCGGTCGACTAGATACGTAAGAGAATGGATCGACGCGAGAGAAATTGTAACCTGGTCGATCGCTTCGCGAGGGTACTCCAACTTTCCGGATCCTGTGGCTGCCGCGTACTCATCACCTACAATTAAATACTGGTTGGTCCTCAGGAGCTCATCGATTTATTGAGATGAGCTTCTAGAATCCTTTAAAATCATTCTTCAGTACAAGGGAAATTAAAACGAATCACGATGGACAACGGAACACGCGAAAGTGCCATGCGCTGAGCATCGGTATTTCGAAGAAGTAAATCATCACCTAATGAGGCGAGACGCATCGCGGGTGCGTTCGGGATTCTTCGAGGTCACATTGGTATAGCAGGAATGATATCTGGTCGCGAATTCTCGGGAAAAAGAATGAAGCGTAGTTCTACGGCGGTTCCCCGACTGAGTTGCAGACTCAGTCAAATAGCCCGAGATTTTTCCCCTTTACGTTCCGCTCCGCCGTCTGGGGCACACCCTCCGGAGCTTCTTCTGCACATTCTGAACCCATTCTTGCGCTCAGAATCATTCCGCTGCTTGTCGAGGAACAACCCGACTCGTCCCGAGCCGTACTCGGCTGCGGGTCATATAACAAAAGTTCCGTTGAGAGACTTTCGCCCCGACAAAGCTGCGAGATTACAGCGACGATTCGGGTGGGAAGTCGAAATCTTGGATGCTCGAAAGCCCGAGCCGTCGCGTCGTCCGAGAATCGAGGCGGTCCTGCTCGAAACGGGGAGATGGTCAACGGGAGGCTCTCGACGGCGATGATTACGAACAATCGTCGGACATTGTGAAATATGAACTCAGATAAGCGGAAGATGGAGATCTTGTGGCTTTTATGTATGTACTTCATGTGCAACGGAATCATCGAACCCCTCCGTTCGTCCGAAATGACGTTGGGAGCTCCGGAACATTAAAAGGTTTTCGATGCAATCATTAGGCTGAGGTTGCAGAATTGGCTATGATGTCAAGGACAGCTTCTGAGCATTGAGCGGAACAGCGGGGTATCGAAAATGTCTTACGTTCCTCCTCCCTGGGCTTGCTTTCGTTCACCTTGATCGAGTCGACGCAAACGAATTCGCGCGAAAATCCTTCGTTCGTTTGCTCTCGCTGTCGGAGAGCATCGGAAGCTGAAATTGTAAGTTTTAACGCGCGCCGGACCGAGTCCGAAAATCAGCAACTGGTCGACATCTCCAATAGAACATTGAGACCTCGACTCGGTGAAACAGGCGGCATCTACGTCTTGCTTCGAGAGCATTCTCCGATATCGGAACGCGGGAATGCTCCCGGCCGCTCAATTTGTCTTTTGTTTCCTCAGCGGGAGGAAATTGACTCCCCGCGAAATATAATCGATGAACAACTCGAAGCGATTCTGCGTCAGCTGAAACGATTCCCGCGTGCTCGCGCGGGGCGGTGCTGAATAGCTCTTGTCCATGAGATAAGCAAGCAGCCTGCTAGCTGGCTGAGGGAAGGGGAATACTTGCCAAAACGAGCGGAGCGACAACCGCATTAGGGTTAAATGAGGGATAAAATTGAGACCACAATGCTTTGCATGGCGAATTGTTCCAGCGAGTGAGATAACAGAAACCACACGTTCTCCGGAACGACTCGATCAGGGCTGCTCTCCTCTGACTCTCGCAAGGCAGCGATGTTGCAGACATCTAGTTCCTTCTCGGGCTCCGATTGATCCCTCGTTTCTCGAACGATTACGAGAGGTGTCGAATGGAATTCTGATTTAGATTCTCGGTGCCTTCGGGGGAGAGATCCAGTTCCTGACGGCTTGCGGGAAACTCATTTTCGGCAGTCACTAGTTATGGACACGGTGAGCACAAAAGGTCCCCAGCCGTCGTTTTCTTAAAGATGCGAAACGGAATCGATCTTCTCCGGCGCTTAGAGAGACCGCTTGGTCACTGGAGCGAATCGGACTGCGAGCCTCGCAGAAGGATGGCAAGGTTTGCGCACGATTGAATTGTTTCTTGATGACGGAAATCCGATACCTTTTGACACTGTCTAAAAAAAACATTCATTAGTTCATTTTCCACGTTAGTCCTTCCGACGGACTATCGGGGTCGGTCGCGGATGCAGCGGAGCGCTCACTTCATTCGTAGATGTTCCGTGATCAGAAGAACCAGAGAGGACGTGTTAGCGATTGCTGATGGAATGAGAGACTCGGAGTCGGAAGTGGAGGGTCGAAGAAGATACAAACCGGAGGAAGGATCGAGTGGTTTGCTCAGCGACACAGCGCCGATTCGGTGCGGCGAGCATCGAATCAAAGAGTTTCGAGCTCCACGGCGGACAAAGTGCATTTTGAGATTGAGAATCCCAAATGCGCAAAGAAAACAAACTCGGCCATTGTAAACGGACCGATGCGACCGGGTCTTCTGCCGTCCTCATTGGGTCACGCGAACTCATTTTGTTGATCGTGTCCGCGTCCCGGCGACTGTTGGTACCGTCATTGTCTCGAGCGGACCCTATCGACTTACAAGAGTGCATCGCAAAAAGTTCTCCGATTCCCTTGCGGAGTATATTCAGTGGTGCTCTGTCTCGCGGACTGATTCTTCCTCCGTCCAATCCGAGAAGAAACGAAATACATATCAGTTACCACAGCTTCTTCGGTTCCCTCTGTCGGAATCTCCTCCGATCGAGATGGCGCGTTAGCGTGATGGGCGTTGATAGATACGGCACAAATTGCCGCGCCTTTCGGCCCGCGGAATTATCATACTTTCAGTATTTCTTCCGGCAGATCCGGCTTTCAAGGCGTGACTCAGGACAGAACCGAGCTCTCAGAAATCGCGCCTGGATCGGGTTTCTCCCCCCGTGCTCCCGAACTTCTCGCCCTGCCGCGACTAGGGGAGAGCACTGCAGTAATTGCGCGAAGAAAAAAAGAGTCAATTTAGGAGGGGTTTGGGGGTAATTTCCCTTTTCCGGATAACGGATGTGGCTCAGCAGCGAGAATTTTCCTTATCATGCCGCAAACTCGGTCTAAGCAAGAGTGGAGACAAAATCGGGATCCTCCACGCCTCGTGTGCCCCGACTAGATGGGGGAATCTTACAGGTCCGGTTGTGCCAGACGAATGAATGGCACCATGCTACATGGGGTCTCTCAGATGAATCAGAGTGGAGCTGTGGGCGTTCAAAAGTTCATTGCTCACTGGGATAATCTTACAGGGAGGGTGCACCATCAAAAGCTATGATGATTTTGATCTTTGACGAAAGACATTTCGCCATCATAATTCGTAAGCATGTATAACGGCACTGAGTTTGCCAGTCGCTGAGCCCGAACCACAGCATAGAATCCTATTACTCCTGTGAATATGAGTATCAGCTTCCTATCAAGTCGAATATCCTCCCAAGCTCGGATGGAAAAGGTGTCGAAATTCGCGAGGAATAGATCGCAGGCGTGAATCGAGGTTTTGCTGGTTATCCTGCGTGTCACCACCTGTGGATTTCGAGTAATACTCCTGAATTCTCGCACTCAATGAGCTCGACGATTATTGCTGGTGGTTATGTTTGAACGATCACATGCTCGATTCTTGTAGATTGCAAGATAGGCAATCGTTCCCTACCTGATCGTAGATGAGATCGGGCATTGTTTCGGACGAGCTTGAAATTCGGCATGCCATTTCAATCACGGCCATCATTATGATTATTCCGCTCACGCTGTGCAGATAAGTTGATAGCCACATCTCATTGGAGACTTGGTTGTTGAGCGTGAACAGCAGATCCAACGTGAGGAAAACTATGGTGACGTTCATTAGAAGAATCGGGATTCCGAAGAGTTTGTTCACATGATCACTGATGAAACGCCCAAGCATCGTGTGCTGTTTAATTGCGTGCATTGGCTTCTCCTTGACTTGTATCGTTACGTGATTGATGATGAAGTTCAGCTGGTAGAACACGACACCCATGAATATTGCGCTATAATAGAGACTTCCGTAGAGCAGCAGACCGACCAGAATGTGCTGCGTGCCGATGGCAACGCTTCTGAAGTCGGGAACGTAGAACGTCTCCACCAGTCGCACCACGAAAGCGGCGAAGAACATCCCCAGGACGGTGATGGACACGTGTCTATAGAGACTGCTTTTTCTCGGTGAAGATTCGTATTTCCTCACGATTTTCGAGAGGTCGTCCACGAGTTTCTTTATGACCTCGATGTGTCGCTCGGTGTTGAAGTAATACGAGTTGAACACTGAATTTAGGTGCAGCATTCCTAGGACGGCTCGGTTCCACAAGACGGAACCGCTCATCTCAGCGGCGTGATTCCAGAGCTCCACGAGCCACCGTAGGAAAAGCATAACGTGAAGGGTGCGAATACACCACAGCCACACCTGTAATGAAACGTAGATCGACTTCATCTATGAATCTGTCGTTGTATTCATCATCAGATCGACGCATCGTATTGCTCGTCAAATTATCGCTTCCATTTCCATCCCTACAAACCTTCTCTTTACAATTTTCAGACTCACAGCCGGGGACACCGAGTATGAGTCCCACCGCTTTGAGTGAGTTCAAGCTAGCTCTGAATTCTGAGAGTTCCTCCACACGGATCTCGGATTCATCGTCGTTCTCGATGAAGCCGAGCAGAGGCCTGAAAGAGCGATATGAAGCCAGCGTCAGCCTCACCGACGGACCATCGTTGTCGACGCAACCGAAAACCGATGAGTGTCGGCACGCTACGCCGGTGCAATCAAGTGCGAGGGAAATAACGATTCACTTCTCGGAAGCAAGTCTTCGGAGCTCAAGGATTCCTCGCTGATCTTCAGCGCGAGCGGAATCCCTCGCGACAAAAAATATCTGGGCACACATCCACCTCCACTCGGGCCGATTTTTCGCCGCCATTATGTCTTGCCGAGAGCTGTGTCCGACCGACAGGCCTCAAAACAACATACGGAGACACTCAGCCAGTCTCAGTAGGTACTCGATTCAAATTCACATTGACGGCGTTTTCTGCTCACATGACGAACTGACTGACGTCGGTCCCTTTCGGTATCTCTCTCGGCCTCTGATGCTGTCGGTTGTGTTAGGGTCGCGGCTGGTTTACCGGCTGCTCGACGGACTGACTGAATGGCGGGCGGTGCTAGAGCCCACAGTGATCTCTCTTTCTGGACTACTCACCGCTATATCTGTTCGGCTGCCCAAAGACTAGCGAGGAAACAACTCGCAGAGTGAGTGAGTTTGTTCCTCGGTGCTAGAATAGAGGAAAATCTGCGCCTGGTTCATAATTCTCCAAGATGCGTGAGCAGATGACTGCAACTCTCTCCAAGAGTCTGCGTTCCTTGGAGGGATGGGAATTCGGTCGAGGTGGCGATCGACGTTCCCTGAGAACGACTCTGACAATGATCCCGCTCGTTGTCGGTTCATTCATTGCTTCACTTCAGCATTTCCGGTCGTCCAGAATGCAATTTTTCCTCAACAAGAAAACTTCGAGAACTCCTCCGCGATCGCTCCTCTCTCCAATTTCCCCCCAGGTGTCCTGAAGTACTCCACGCTAGGCCCAGCAGAGACTGATAAGTTCACCGTGACCGTTTTCATCGATATAGACGTCTCTTCAAATTTCTTCGGAGAAGAGAAGTCGAAACATTCTGCGCATGATCGCATTCAAGACAGGCTCCTCCTTAAGGGGGAGACCGAAGACGCCGAATTCCATTCCGTCGTAGCACCCCTTTCTGACAGGAATGGAATCGATGAGCTCACATACGAGTTCTTGGAGCGCGTCCCGTGGGTATGCGGACTCCGGGAAATACTCAAGCTCACGGTAGGACTCGCCGTTGTCGGTCAGACCTCATTGACTTTACGCCTCGTTCCGATTCTTTGACCTATAGGAGCCCACCTTGACAGGAATGCAGATTCGCGAAGGCCCCTGACGGCAGGCAGGAGATGGAAGGTCACGTCGCGAGCGATTGATCTCTCATCGAACGGGTCACCCGAATCCGCTCTTTCCATGGACGCCCTTTCCCTTCACGATATGAGAGACAGCCGCAATGACTGGATCTACCAACTCCCTGTGATTTGACAGCCATGAGCGACCTGGACATCGTGAAGAGTTTCGAAGACCACGGTGTGGTGCCCGATGTCGTCCCTGAAGCTCCCTCGAATCTTGTCAAGGTATTCGGATCAGCTTGAGGAAATCTACTTCTCGCCCAAGAATTCAGGATACATCTTCAAGCTGTATTAAAATATAAGGATGAAATTCGGATGTTGAATAGGGACGAAATCTCCTCGCCAATGGGTTCTTAAGCTTCATGAAACGCGCAGGTGTCGTACGGCAATGGCAAAGTCGTCAGCTTGGGCGACATCCTCACCCCGACCCAGGTGAAAGACGAGCCCGTGCTGATCACGTGGTCAGCTGAAAGTGATGTCCTCTACACGCTCATAATGACGGACCCCGACGCACCGTCCAGAGCGAACCCGACCCTAGGAGAAGTCAAGCACTGGCTCGTGATTAACATTCCGGGCTCGGACGTTGAGAAGGGTGTCGAGATAGCGGCTTATCGTGGATCCGGACCGCCGAAAGGAACGGGTCTCCACCGATATGTTTTCCTCGTCTTCAAGCAAAAACAAGCTCTGCAGCTCGACGAGCCTCGCGTGCCTCGGTTTTCGAGGGAGGGCCGTCTCAATTGGAGCGCTCGGAAGTTCGCCGAAAAACACTCGCTAGAGTTGGTCGCCGGGAACTTCTATCAAGCAGAATGGGATGAATACGTGGACACTATCCCGAGATCTTGAATAAATGTGACTACGAACTTCATTGAGTCCATAAACCCTCCCTGTTTCCCGAGCGTCTGCCCCTTTTCTACCTCTCCATAGCCCAGGCTCCTGAGGGACGGATGCGAAGATCCTCAACGGAAATTTCTCGTAAACCGTGATTATGGGCCACATGTTTAATTCCTCGTTCGAACCACATCGAATTGACATCCACATAGCGCCTGCATGGAACCTTGTGACGTCGGATCGTGGATCTCCGATCGCCGGCGAAACCGTTCCTGATTCTTCGTGAGATCTTATTCATTGTCCGCTTGATATACAGATACATGAGCTTTGGTTGAAGAATAGAGAGTAAAGATCCGCATACACATGCGACGTCGGCTTACACTCTTATTCGATTAAATTCAGATTTCGGCTGACAGTCCATTACATGTCATGTCATGACATCTGGCACTTCCTCCAGGCAAGTTCGACGCTACCTCTACTGTCAGAGTTTCGCTCACATTTTCCGCAGCTCGACGCAGTTACCCTAAGCTCAGCAGTCCAACTTGAGACGATCATGCTTTTCGTAGGTGTCTTTTGCCTCTTGACTTTCTCGGCAGGTGAGTTGTTGAGAGCCATGCATCTCCACTGAAAGAACCAACTGCATCTCGTGAAACTCGGTCTGGGAGACGGATTCGAGAGGATACTGGCCACCAATGATGATTTTTTGAGTCAACGATCGAAACATTGATTCCGCCTCAGGTATCGATGCAGAATGCGTCGCTGGCTCCGACCGGATAGAATGTGAAGTTAGCGGTCAACTTTATCCCGCGGACAACACAAACTGCCAAGGCTTTTATCATTGCGCCCACAATAGCGCCCTCCTCCAATGTTGTGGGCCGAACACCGTCTTCCATCCATCTCTGAAGGTTCGTAGATTGACCTTTTTCGAAAATCGATACGAGAATCCTACTGTATCCACCGGAACGATTTGCAACATTCGCAAGATTACCTAGCTGGCTCCAGGGCGGATTCGGGAGCATGATTTCGGATAGGGCCGGAGAACTCGAGAGCCAATCAATCGCCTACGTGACAGATTGAGAGCTTGCGTCCCAGTTCGACTCCACCAGTCGACCTTCCCAACAGGACGACTCACAGGGCGAATCGACACGATAATCTGTTTGTAATCATTCCCGCGATATAGAGGGATGTCCTTGCGCAGGATCTCTTGCTGTCACAGAGAGGAAATGATCACGAAGTTCTCACAGAAATCGAACTCGGAGTCTTGGTGCTGGTCGATCGTCGGGCGCTTCGGAATCGACTTCAGCGAATAAGACGGAGGGCGATGGAAAGGTTCTCCGTCGACTTCATGCGATGACTGTACTTGGAGCGTACAAGAAGTATTTCTCTTGCAGGTCTGCGTCTGGCCTCACCAATACGAATGTCCTGATATAGACACGTATGATTATATAGATCCTCGTTGAAAACTCCTCGAAAATAAAGGAACCATGTCTGAGAACGAGAAGATGTCTCACAATCAGCTCGACCTCCGTGCTTCCAACCATTCTGAAATACTATATGGTAGGGTGTGTCCGTGGAATGTAGCTGAACGGTGATAGCCGTAAATTGAGATCATCCGAGAGAACGGATCATCTCTCGTATGCACCTCGAGAAAGCATGCTGAAGGTGTCACTGCGAGGAGTGACGACTCATAATCTCAAAAACTCGTGCAGAACTCATGACATCAACTCACGCACGCACTTCTTCGAAGCTTTCGACGATACTCCTCGTGACATCCCCGATCTGACGATGAGTACAGAGAGCTTATTTCTATGCCATTCCGAAAAGATGGCCGCTGTCGGAATCCAGAAGTATTGCGTCGGGCGCGTGGAGGATCTTGCGCCTCCTTCCCTTCCGTGGGGAGGACAGACTGAGGTAAAGGTATGATATAACCATCCCTCCCTCGAGGCACCGTTTGCCTCTTCCCGGGCCCCTTCATTGGTGTTCCAACCTGCCCAGCCCCTAGATCGACGCCTTCGACAGCGCCTGATCTCTCGTCCCCTCGACGGACCTCTCCACCTTGAACGACTTTCATTTCAACCAAATCGAAAGCGTTCACAGAGCTCCATATGCGCTCGTTTTCGTGTACATCTATACTCGTCGCGCACTCCGTGTCGCGAACCTCGATGTCTTCTTTCCAACGTCACGGAATCCAGCACGTAGAAGGTGTCCAGCACGAGACCCGGTGTGATGCACGTTTCGTACTCCATCGCGGTCGTGAGTTGAGGTCACCGATTGGTCGAACGGCTCCTCGAAACTCTTGTCAGACGCTAGCGCAAGCCATTCCATGAGAGTCTGAGCCTCGTGCAGCTTGCATCGACTTCAAATAAAAATCCAGAAGGGCAAGCACCCTCACTTCGCGCTCGAGGCGCTTCCTCGTATCATTCTCAGGAACGATCGACCTTCTGAAGTCCCTTCTAAGGGGAACATGACCGGCGAAAACCGGCAAACAAAATAATGTCGCCCATCCGACCCCAAAAAGTTCAAACTCTCGGATCTGCTCTGGTGCAAGTCATCGACTGCGCAATACTTCGAAATTTTCCTCTCAGCGGGTCCCAGAACGCTGGGAGAAAAACTTAATTGCCGATTCCGGTTCCTCGCAGGTTCAGGGAACATCTGCAGACATGTCGTCGTTAAGAAACAGCTCCTCGATTGTGCTTATGATCGTCGCCTCGATGATCGTGTCGCAAATCAGAGGTGAGTCCGGGAAACGGTCGCGGTCGTGCAAGCCTCCGCTCCTGACAGCGGATGGATTGAAGAGGCAACGCTGTTTCCTGATCATTTCACTCCGGATTCGGCCTTCTTGTGAAGACTCTGATGAATTCCGCTTTCTTCAGGTAGTGGAGCCTGCACGCCCGGGCGCTATGTGAAAGCGAATTTCCCCGTGAACGGGGCTTCGTACCCAATACCAGGAACCCAATGTCGAGCATACATCACTTGTCAAAACGTCGGGGGCAATCTCAAATGATGCAGCCCAGCCAAACCCTTCAGGCCCGATAGGCTGCGCGGACAGGATCATCTACACGTGCCCTGATCCTTGAGCATGTCTAGGATCCAGATGATGGACTGAAGCTCTCCGGCCAGAATCTCCGGAGGAATAAGACATTAATACTTCTGAAAAAAAGTCGGTTTCGCTTTCTGCGATTAAAAATCAGAACTCATAAACAAAGTTTGTGCTTCGACTAGAGACCAAAGAAAAAAATCATTGTGCGAATGTTCATGATGGACAAAATAAATCCCATGAGCAGATCAACCCATGTTCCATTATTCCCACTACAATCCATGCGTCTGGGTTGTAAGTTCGGTTCACGGAAAGATTTTCCAAGGAGAATAATTCAACAGCGCCCTCGAGGTGGCTCCGTGCGTTTTTCTGCTTGAAGCTCAAGCGGCATCGGACGCTGGATAGAACATTTAAAACCCGCGCATCCGTCACGTTGTAGAATGATACCGGCAATGACCGCGAGATTTTGCTCGTGATAGCGGCCGCGGTCCTCTAGACTTTCAAGCTGTCAGCTTTGTGATTTCTGATTCGGAGCGGCCCTCACATCCCAGATCACGATCTCAGAGTGGAAAGCAGAAGAGAGATTCTCGATCGAACGCAGAGCTGCTGATTCCGGAATGATTGGAATCGAGATCGACTTCGAATAGACTACTTTTGTCGCGATCGCCTTGGACAATATCCAAATAGGGTTCTCCAGGCTGTAGTCATTCGTTAATCCTCGACTGGTGAAGCTATGAGTGGTTCAGGGGCATGATCCTACTCGGCCCATCGGGAGGAAAAACACCCACCTTCGCAGTATCGAAACAACACGGAGCCTAGCCGAAACCCTGACGCAACACATCTACCCGGAGCGCTGAGCAACGGATGCTGTAGCAGAGCCATGCGACCGAAGACTGCCGCCATCGTGGTCCTGCTGAGCATTTCACTTGCGCAGTCCGAAGAAGATCCCATTCTGAAGCAGAAGTTCGAGGAGCACGGCTTAGTTCCCGATGTTATCGGCAAAGCACCCGGCAGACTCGTGAAGGTGAGTCATCAACCTCCGGAACGGACCGCTGGTAATCAATGTTGATCTCTTCGAATGTATGATTCCCGGTCCGTTTCACGGGGATCCGCATAGATCTGAGGCAGAAAGGATCACCCCTGGCTGTTTTCCCCAGGTGTACTACGGCGAGAACGGTACACTTCAGCCCGGCGAAGTCTTGCCGCAGGACCAGATACAAGGCGAGCCAGAAAAAGTTTCATGGGAGGCCGACCCCGATGAGTTGTATACGCTCATCATGACGGATATCGACGCGCCGTCCAAGGAAAACCGGTCTGATGGGGACGAGAAACGTTGGCTAGTGGTGAATATTCCGGGGTACGGTCTCGCCGAAGGCGAAGTACGATCTCCATACGAACCCCCTCAACCTGCGGCGGGAACAGGTGAGGAGCATCGAGTCAGCGCAGGGACGCTCGAAGTGGGACACTTTCGTCTCCCCACTCCCCGATCAGTCTCGTTAGAATCGCCTAGCATCAGGGAAGCGTATCTCAGAGTTGGGTAGTTCACCTCTCATTCCTACTGACTGTTAGTCGGCGATATCGGCAGCAGATGACTTGACAATTACAGGTCTCCATCGCTTCATATTCCTCGTGTATAAACAGTCGCAGACGCTCAACTCTACGGACGAGGATCCCGAACCCGAGACGACAACCGGGGAATCTGAGACTTCAACGCCCTGGACAATCAACGACTTCGCTAGGGTCAACGAGCTCGGCGATCCAATCGCAGGCAATTTTTTCCGAGTGGAAGGAATGGCGACAGAGGAGTGAGCGAGCCTGCTCACTAGCCGACCAGATCGCGCAACCGAAAGAAATAAAGTTAACTCTCGGTCTGCCTGGGCTCACTCGGCTGCCGGACACCGATAAATATTGCCGGACTCCGGCGATCGCTAGTCAAAGGGGTCTTTGTCTGAGACCAGGAAGGTGTACCCTGGGAGCTGGAACGCTGAGAGAGTGCTTCATGCCTCGTAGAAATGATACGAAGAGTCTTTTGATCCTTCCTCTACTCTTTTCAATGGAGTGTTCCATGGATCACTAGCTTGTGAATTGAACTGCTCATAAGCTTTTGATTCAGTCAAAGAAAATTGGATCGAATGAGATTAAGAGTCACGAAAACTGCTCATTGATTGAATCAAGTCTGAGGTTGCTTCCACGATGCCGTTCTCGAAACCCGTCGACCTCCATCTTTCCATGATCGATCGCTGGGAACACGTCGAGGCGGAAGGGACACCCTGTTCGTTGTGTGGATTCGAGTATCGCCTTGAGACCGAGGCCGTAAATAGGCGTGATCTATAATTACGGAATGACTAGTTCCGCAATCCTCAGGGTGAAGAGAAACTCACCATTAGGACAGTACAAAGCTGATTCTGAGGCGTCCGGAAAATGGATGGGCCGAGTACCCTGACAAGGAAACCTTCACTTTTGGTGGATCGCAAAGCTGATCCTGACTTAGTCCTCCTGATTCCTCATCGAAAATTAGGAAAAAAACCGAGTCTCCCGAGCCGACCGCCACAGGAGCCGGAGCGGCAAACAGGAGGAAGATTCGACTTCAATATGGGGATCTATGGGGCAAGTTTCTCAATATGAGCCGAGAACATCCTGGAAGAGATCTTTTGCATGCATGATTATCCCACGAGCTGGAAAAGCATAGGGGTAGCCCTAAATAACGATGTTCGTCGATCATTTCATCATTTCACTTCGGGTTAATCCTCGATGATCATGACCCATGAAAGGAACAGGGGAGGGCAGGGGCCTGTCTATACATATATCTTGGAAGGAAACTGGGTACCCAGCCACCAATGTCATCATCGAGGATAAAAAGGCGATGGGTCGGCTATTATCTTTATTTGTGGGTCTCCCTATGCTTTTCCAGTACAAGTGATCAGAATGCATGAGGAAAATCTCGTATCGGCTAAATTGAGAAACTTGCCCCAATTTTTCCCATATTGAAATTGAAACTTTCTCCTGTTTGCCGCCTCGGCTCCTGTGGCGGTCAGCACGGGACACTCTGTTTTTTTCCCTAATTTTTGACGAGGAATCCGATGGACGTAGTCTGGATCAGCTTTGCGATTCACCAAAAGTGAAGGTTCACTCGAGAGATTTCGCTCTTTAAATTGAGAGGGGCAATGCATGATGACGACGGAAAGTTTTTCTAGGATTGTGTGTCGGGTCACAATGGAGCCCGCGCTCAACAACAAGACAAAATTGCGAGCTCGATGAGCTAGAAATCTAGCACTTTTGGGTTATCGGTTCTTCGGAGCGGTTCGTGACTCATCGGAAAGTCGATCTCCGTCATCATTTGGTCGCTTTTCCTTGGAGATACCTACCCCGCTTTTCCGTCCGTCCGCTTTTCTAGGATCGAGACGAGTATGATTGAATCCTCTCATTCCGGTGAGACTTTCTTGTTACTACGTCCGCGAGTCGAATGTCTGATAATTGCGTTGTCGTCATCGTTCGTTTTACAGCTCATCCGGGTGCTGTCTTCCATCGCCTAGTACTAATATAGACTGCGAATTACGGGAGACTGGCACTTCGAGTGTGGACTCGAACGCTCAACGAAACACGACCTGCAAGGTACGTTACGATTGAGCTCAGATTTCACTGAGCCCGGTGCTGGGACCACGAAACTCAACGATTATGTTGAAAGGAACCCTCCTCGTGGCGGGTTAATCGGAGTCGTGGGGAGCTCCCGGATTTCCAGGTGATCTCCGTCGGGAGCGTTTCCGAGCAGCTGCCTCCGCCGCCGATGCCCTCATCGTTCCTCGCAAGAGCATGCAATGATGAAGACTGATCTTTCAGGAGCAGCGATGAAGGCCTTCACATCTCTTTGCACACTTCTCCTACTTGGTTCCGCTCAGGGTCAATACGGGGTACGTAGCGATTTCGGCTCGATGCTCTATCCGCATGATTGCCATCCGTCCCGCTCGTAATCTCCTATCTCCGCGGATTCGCCTGTGCCCGTTTCAGCGAAGATGGGTATGCAGAGGTGTACGGACCATGCAAAATCTGCGTTGCGACGTCATCCTCGCGATTGACTGAAATCCGCGTCAGGTAGCGGCGCTGCGTGACCGTGCGCGGGGCCTGCACTTAGGTACATGAAATGCCGTGGAATGTCCGTCTGCCGCGACGAATCCGCATTTCTGATAGTGAGTTCTCGCATGGGGCTTATCCCATTCCGTCTTTCCAGAACTTGTGGAACGGGGGAGCTTTTAACCCATGGAACAATCCGAATCATCCGGCAAACCAAGGAATTGCTAGGGGGATCGCAGCGCGGAATTTCTTCCCCTGGCCCGGTGCTCCATTTATCCGGCCGGGCTTCAACCCGTCAAACGTCGCTGATCACGCAGCCATCGGTGAGTCTCAGACAGTTTCCCCCGCTCAGGAGCATGGCTCACATTATCTACATAATTCTGGGCCAAAAAAAATGGATCTCCCTTACCGAGTGGCCACAGAAGACCTGAGCTTAGAACACGGTCACGATAAACACTCTTGATGACCACTCACAGAAGAGCTACCAGGAGAACGCCGAGGAGCTCTCGTCGAATTGACCGAGCGTAAGAACGAGATTGACGCCAAGATCCGAGACGCTGCTCTTGGACGTGACGCGATAGGGGCCGGGTTTCGGCCGAGATTCGTCAGCGACTTGATCGAGGAACGGAGGCAACTGGTTCATGATATCCGTAAGGCTCAGCGGGAGGCTGTTCGAGAAAATCTCGCAAGAGTAGCGAAGAGGAGGGAGATCGCTAAAGAGCTCGCAGAGTCTAACGAACCGATCACCTTCGGTTTGCTCATGCGATCCTTGCACCGAGCCTACGGCCAAGAGATGGCCGCCAATAGTATGGCTCACCAGAGGTACGTCGAACGCCTCGACTGATGGGATAAGTTGAGCCATTTTGTAGCATTTTCAGCGTCGTGAATCTTACACGAAGCCTTCTCCAGGAAAATACTAGAGAAGTTCGATCGACCCTTCCTGCGACCAGTGATATCTATGTTTGCTCCGATGGGCTTGCCAAGCGGCGCCCTCGCGGAGACGAAGATTTACCAGAACCTCAAAGAGCAGAAAGGAACACTCTTGAAGGATGAGGATATATTCATCGTGACGAAGCTCTCGGGTTTCTCGGGTGAGTCTTCAGCGCAATGGGATTCCTCACTGACTTCCGAAAAGCAGAAGTCTTATACTCTCGTTCTAAATATCTTCCCTAAGACTATGGGAGGTCTTGCTCTGAAAGGCCCGCTTTTCGAATTTCCAGGGGATAAGCTGCATCTTTCGGTGGACTTGCATGCTGTCAACGAAACCGCTCCTGACACAGAGGCCCTCAGCGAAGACTTCCTTCAGACAGAATTGGAATTCCAGGATGAGATGCTGGAGTCGCAATTGACTGCGTCGGAGAAACTCCTGGAGATGCAATGGGAAAACACGGGGAAGCAATCTGCGCTACAAGAAAAACTGGCGAGGAAGCGGTTGGACAGGGCGGAGAAGGTCGAAGAGCTCAGGAATAAGCTTGCGGAGCGCCAGCGCGACCGTGAGCAGAAGCTGGCGGAAAAACACCGAGATAATTTGGAGAAGGAGTTCGAAAAGGAACAGAAAGCCGCGGAGAAACAACGAGACCTCCTCGAGAAAAAAGCCGAGAAACAGCGGGATCTCCTGAAGAAACAACTAGAGAAAGATCAAGATTTTCGCGAGAAGCTGCTCGAGAGAGAGGCTAGAGCTGCGGAAAAGCTGGAAAAGAAATCGAAGAAGGAAGAGAAGCGCGCTCGGAAGAAGCTTGAGAAGGAGCAGAAAATGTCTGAGAAGCAGGGGGACACTCTTCAGAAACTGCAGGAGAAGGCAGCAGAGGAAGCTTCGAAACGCCAGGAGAAAGAGGCAGATTTGCTGGAGAAACAGCGTGAGAAGGAACAGAAGTTGGCCGAGAAGGAGGAGGAACTCCTCCAGAAACGACTTGAGAAGGAGCAGGACAAGGCCCTGAAATTACTTGAGAAGGAGCGAGAAAAAGCTGAGAAACAAGCGGAAAAAGATCGCGAGTCGGAAGAAAAGCGGCTCGAGAAGGAGAAAAAGTTGGCGGAAAAGCAACTGGAAAAGGAGTTGAAAGAGCTCGAAAAAGAGAACGATCTCCTTGAGAGACAGTTGATCGAATACCCAGAGCAGCGAATTGAAACCCTACCGATTGCCGGTGAGTAAACATGCTCCGAGGGTTCCAGCAACTTCGCTGCTCTTGAGTTCTTCCCTCGATACCGCGTCACTGTTGCGTTCGGAAGCTCTCTAGTAGCTCTCAGATTCCTGCGCTATCACGTCGAATTCGGGAAACTTGGCCCAGATGCAGCCCTGACAACGAGGCGCTGGGAATATTGCGAATTGATCACGGAACCTGATGATGCGCCAAGGAGTATTCGGAAGTCTGGGCCTGATCCAATCAGAGTTATTGCTTTCAAAATCGTGATTATCCGTTTCAGATGTTTATTCTCAAAATTACTTTGCGCATCAACAAATGTATCCATTCATTCCGCGCTTCGGACCTCCTCACGGATTCTAGAGCAAATATTCATCGGGTGATAATAAATTGAACTAGCAAGGCACGCTGGGAAGTCTCTCCATACTTTCTTAATTGATATCGAATCGAGATAGGAGTCTCCGTCCTCCCCGCGTCAAGCCCCAAGACCTATTATCGCGCCGGGGGGGGACCGAAAATGCTATAGGGTAGCCCTTGAGCGGCCGATTTCGGGATCCTCACCCCTCTCGGCATCTTCATTACTCTGGACCACGGAGGGAGGGGATCAGCTTCCGAATTCCTCGTAATCAAGATCCGAGGTTCACGATAGCCAGGATTGCGCGGGGTGGGGTTTCACCCTCACCCCCAGATCTCCAAAAGAATGCGTCGACTTTGTGTGGGGTGAATTCGGACAAAAGTATATAAGACCTCTTCAGCCTGGTGAGCTTCATTCTGTAGCCCACGGCCATAGTCTCCTCCTCCTATTCGTTCACGGTAACAGAGTTCCGCATTCATCGTACAATGGTCTCAAACACTAAACAGCTCGCTCTCCTGCGGAAAACTCTCTTCGGTCCTCGCTCAGCAGAGGAATCAGAGAGCAATCGTCGTATCCGCGTCAGCATGCGGGGCAGAAAACAGTCGGAGAGGAGCGAACGCAACGTGGAAGATCTCCAGATCCGGAGCCAAGGCCGGCGAGCGACTCCGCGTGACCATAAAGAGAAGAATGGTCCGAAACAGGTCCACCAGAGATTGCAGTAAGCTCGGGGACACCAGACCTCTCCCATCCCTTCTGGAATGAGGAATCGGAGGTCTTGCTCGCAGTCTGATCCATCCACTCTTCCATCGAGGAAAAGCTCAAGTGGAATCATCATCATTTCGGACTCACTCTATATCCCCCAGCGTAAAAACACACGTTCAATAAAAAATGTCGATTGAGGCAGAAATAGAGCTCTCGTTCTCTCACATTTGGACCGGAACTTATTGTCACGAGGAGGCTTCATATGCTTCAGATCGATTGGGGATCAATCATTCGGAAGGAACCTGACTGAGGAGCGACGATGCTTTTCTAAGACTTAGTGCGTAACGCTAATTTTCTGAGCTTCCTCCGTCTTGAATCAGGTTAAAAATTTCTGCAAGGTCCGGGCGCGATCGACGCGGTGTATGCCGAACTTCTTTGCCTCACACGCATCACCCTCCTAGATGGTGGATACTGGATATACATATGGGTTTGGTCTTTAATACTCCCGTGAGGCGCGACCTGGAGTATTTGTCTTCGTCCCCACAACTCCTTGTGGTTCGAAATTCACAGGCCCATCAACCAGAAGATCCCATAGAGACCTTGGCGAATGGGGTATGAAGCTTCATCCAAAGGCGTGACTTGGCAGCTTATTCCCGAGAATTTCCTGCCCCGTCATGGGCGGAGTTCCTCCGCGAGATCCGGGTGCCGTCGGCGTCGCGCATGATCAGACTTCACGGAACCTCTCGGCAACTCTCCGAATAGATAAGTATTCACACAGAATTCACCTTCATCTCATTTGTGATTTTATTATTATAACTCATCATAATGATCAAACAGGACACAAATATTATGTATTTGGGATGCGGAGGAGCGTGAAGTCAGTCACCGCTAGGGCCAGAGCTAGGCACCATATTCTCAATGGAGAGTTGCGCCATCGGCATCGCTGGGATCGGATACCAGCGAAGGGCTCGCGAATTCCGATGCGGATTACGATCGCTGAATCGCTATAAATCGAGATTCCTGCGAAAAGTCTCCGGCATTCGAGAGGGGACATTGACTGGACTTTCTCTCGCGAACACCCACCGGAACGTAGCGGGTACCGGGGTGGGGATGGAGCTGCCTTCGGACTTCACGAAGCATCGCGCAAAGAGAATCTTAGCGCAATATCCTAATTTGCTGTCCGCTCACGGTGAATCTTCTCACATCCTCCAACATTCGACTCAGTGTCTGACATGATATCGTGTCGATTCGCAATGCGCTGACATCGTTCGATAGACCTCTTCAGGCTGAAGACCTCAATTTAGCAGCCATGGCTACCTCTTCGCTCACGGAGCTTGATTTTATTTTTCACCTCAAAATAGCCCCGAGCTCGAAACAGCTCGCTGGCCTGCGGGAGGCTCTCTCCGACCCTTTGTCTCCTGAAGAGTCGGAAAGCAAGCGTCGTATCCGCCTCAGCATGCGAGGCTGACGACAGTCGGAAACAAGACGATGTAACGTTGAGAAGCGCCAGATCAGGAGCCTGGGTCGACAACCGGCTCCTTAGGGCCATAAAGAGATGAGTGGCCCAAAGGAGTGAAATCGAACGAGCCGATTCGACGCACCTTTTCCCGGACCGAGGGGTCGGAAGGGATGTTCGCAGTCCCATCTCTCTGATTCATGCCGAAATCTGCGACATCGGAGCCTTTCGAAAAACCAACCCAACCGGACAGATTGTATGGAGCTCCTTTGGATGTGACCATGATGGGGCGAATAGAAGCCTCGATGAATTCGGAACAAACAGCTCTGGAGTTCTCCGTCAGGACCAGAAAGAGCGAGCCGGGAGCAATCCACAGAATGGCGAAAATAATCGGAGACGCGAGTCCTGCGGGTGAAGGAGCCTATTCGAATGGGGCCGACGATCCGACATGGGCCAAACGGTGTACGTATAGCACGGTCGGAAGCTACGGCAGATGTGATCTCCGTTAGAGATTCGCCGCTCCTGTTCTTTCTCTCAGCGGTTATTGCAATGAACTTCTTCATAAGCATTCTCCAAAGTATTAGAAAGGCTGTCAAGGTTTCTCGACCCAGTAGAAAAGGTCGAGCCTTCGGTTTCTGCTCCATGTCGGATCATCGACCAATGTAGTGATGTTGTGCATCGACTCTCCAATAAAATGCGCGATCGGCGATTCCACGGAAGACTGCTGGGCGCATATCCATCGAGTGTCCCGAGAGCACCATCCAAGGCTCGAGACTTATGGAGGAAACGGGGAGCGATCGAGCTCCATATGAGTACTCCCCGAGAGCCCTCCGACGTTGGTCGCGGATGCTCTCATCCATATACATGAAAGTGAATGTAATGCGAAACGTATGTAGATCCTCGCGGAGAAGTCATTCAATATTCAGATATTTGAGAATGCCATGATCTCTCCAGCCATGATCTCAGAGAAAAACAGGACAACTAGGGAGACAGGATCCCTCGCGCTCATCGATGATTATCACAAGCGACGACAGAATTCTTGAGACCTGGTCAATCCTCCTCTTGCAAGGATTGGGCTCTCCGACTTGAGAAGTTTCTCCGTATTTTTGGCTGTCTTCTTTCCTCGCAACAATCCGGGTGGGTTCCTTCTCCAAGCTACTTAAAACGCTAGCCGCTGCTCAAAACGCTCCGGCCCCGCCTGATTTCCGCGACTCGCTGCTCTCGAGTCATACCGCAGGACTCTGGGGGAATGGAGACCGCACGGGCGAGCGGTATGCTGACCAGTCCCAGAGCCGGTTTTCGAGAGCGCAGGCCGCTGAGAAGCATCCAACACTGGTAGCACTTCACAGAGGATAATGGCAGAATGAGAATGGAGCGAATCGCGATTCCGGGCGCTAAATGAAAGATCCCAGGTTCCGCTTGTCCCTGGATTTACCCAACAGTAGGATGGGAGAAGTGCGTAGAGGATGAATACGAATCGCGTGGTTGCATGTCGAGCCCCTACAACGGACGTGCTCTCCGCCGATGATTCGAGAAGTCCCGAAAAAGTTGGCCGTTTCGGACATCCGAAAGCTTGAATCAAACGGTCCAATCTTTCTCCTCTTTTTCCACTCTCTGCGCAAATACTCTGAGGTACCCACTCCCTTAGACAGAAGAAATGAATAATCTGAAAAACCGGAGAGCTTTTATTTCTCTGGACGTCTCCTCCATATATTACATTCGTTCGAGTCGAACCGAGCTTGATGATGGTCCTCGCAGCTCGAGGAACGATAAATAATGACGGTCTTATTCCTGATTTTTCACTGCAGTCTTTGGTGCGTTCTTTTGTTGCAATTCTTGCTGGGCTGGCCCGACGACGGTCGGCACTGACTTCGGATCTGGAGCCCTTCCGCTATGCGTCTGAGTATTTCGTAGTTCTTCCTACCTCGAACTCGGACTAGGAAATCCTGATCATCTTCGGCGCGGTCCTGCGTGCGCGGACGATGCACTGATCCGTCCAGGAAGCCACGCTTGTTCGAGTCCATCGTCATCTTGGAGTGTTCGGAGGGAGCTGCCTCCCCGAAGGCGAAACGAAAATTACGGAAGCACGGGCACGTATCCTCTCCTAGACACCGACAAAGTGACAATGAGTGACAGACCGGTACGCGGATCTCGTTCCTCACCACTGGTCGCTGTATGCTCCGAGTGATGGCAGCGGCGGCGGCGGCGGCAACAGCCACAGATGACTGTAGTGGCGCGCTGAGGAGCCATCAGACCAGTCGAAACAACAAGCCCGGGCAGACAAGACTACGCAAGTTGAGCCTGGCTTAGTGGGACCCCGCCGGCAATGAGCCCAACGGCCAGCCGCCGACTGACTGAGTGAGCGAACGACAGCTGACTCGCTTTCGTTCATGTCCGTTCAATGCGATGAAGGCCGATTTGGGAGCAGCTGGCGCTGTCGAGACTTGCGGCGGCGAAACTGTGAGCACAAGATGCGTCATAGGGTTGGCCCTGACGTCGGAAACGTCACGAGTCGGAATCGGAAGTGGAGAGACGTTCCCTTGCATCCGAAACAATTAATCACAAGATCCTTCGCGTCACGGCGCGGCGCCCATTTCCTCCATGAGTTGACGTCAGAATCTAATGTTGTGGAGAAGTTTCTGTATTCTGAGCATGGTATATATTAAATTATTTACGCGAGAGTTTCGTATCTTTCTACGGGTACAGAAGGATATGAAATCGGGATCCAGAACACTCCTCCGAATTCTGGTAGCGCTTGCGTATATGAAGTTATTGATCCAGATAAATCTTGATGTGATAGTCTTTCGTTCCGTCCATTGTCATGATCCTCCGACTGACGCACACTGAGGGGTATAAGTGTCGGTCCGTAACACTGACAGCTCTGAAT